ATTAAAAATAAACGTAATTATTATTTGTTCCATAGTCACTTTTTGCACAGGCTACATGAAATATCTCATTGTTATTTATGCAACAGCTACGTGACGACGTTAAAAAAGTATTTCCACTGTACAAAGTTATACTGCACGTAATATAGTCGGCACTATGCGACTGTACAACATTCCAAGAGCATAGGAATTATTTCTCTGGCCGTTGGTCGCCGTCTTCACCTCGTTTCTATCCCCAGAGAAATTTTCATGAAATATTGTGGCCAGTCACGCGCGCGCGTGAATTGCGACCGCAGAATTTTCGACTCACTTGCGTTATGCTCGCGCGTTATTGCCTCGGAGTTTCCACTTACGTGCGTCTGTTCTACATCTGAAAAATCGTGATTGAAAAATCTAAAAAAAAAAAAAAAAAAAATTCAAAGAATTTCACGAAGAGCGCGAACTTCGAATTGAAATACGATTTCATTCATTGTACACGCATCTTGTTAGACATATCGTATAAAATCTAGTTACAAAATTACTTTTGTCAAGCGAATCCTAATCTCGTGCGAACACGACGCATAATTTCGCAAGGGAGACATATGGCAGAAATTTCGCAAATTTCCGTTTCTTTCGTGCCATATAAATTCCCGACGCGTTAAAATGCATGCCGCCGTTCGGGCGGAACGACGTCTTTGGAAGAACATCTCGGAGTAATTTTTCTTTCCAGCAGCGAGTCCCGGCGAAATGGCTCACCGGCGAAGCTCCGAGAAGATCGAGAGTCTCCGATTGTTTTTTTTTTTAAATTTTTTTTTAAGTTCACCCTCGATGGCAGCCTGTGCGCCGCCGCCGTGCAATTTCAAACGTTACAATGTCCCCGAGGGAACGGAGCTACAAAGTAATTTTTCCCTTGCTTCTCTCTTTCTCTTTCTCGCTCGCTCGCAGGATATTCCCGGTGAAACCTAAAAGTATCGCGAAACCCAGTTTGCCTCGCATGACCCCCTTTGAAGTTCGTATATGTAGTTCAAGCACTTGAATAACGAATGTTACGATGTTCTCCGTCCGTAACGTGCGACTTTCTACGGCGATACTGTCACGTAAACTAAACTACGTTCTCGCAGTCATCTCGTATGTCACGCTTATACGCTTTGTTACGCGAAATTCACGTTGCCTCACTGCGGGAAAGGTGAAGGTCTCTTTACACTTGTTCATGATCGGCGCAAAGGAGACCATTAAACTTCGAATTGTGACTTAAATCGGTTGCGACGGCGTTGCTTTTTTACGCCCGAGCGGCGGCAATTGCTAAATTGACGCATTAATTATGAAACAAGCAATATCGTCAAAGCCGCACACGAGCACGGAATATCGAATCGCGTGCCAACCGTCCAATTTAACCTTCTCCCATTTGATGAAGCAGATAGGATCGAATTATCTATTCACGTACAGGAAGAACGAAATAGCGAAACTACAATTGTGTGACAATGTGACAATGTACATACATTAACAATATACCACAATGAACAATTTTCATTAAATACTATAGAGCGGAAATAAACACTAATAAATAATAGCGCTGTAATTATAAATGAAATAAACAGGTGGATTTATACTTGCTTGTAGTATCTGTGTGAAAAGTAAAAGAGAAATTTACAAGAGCGATTAGACTTTTTAGTTAAAGCGCAGCAATTCAAATCGTCAGAGCGACTAATATAAGACAAAGCCACATCTTGGTACTTCAATAAATTATTCGACAATACTCTGATGCATCTGTTCTCGTTGTACATTCAGTGAGTGGCTCGCTTCGACCGCATTCTTTTAATACGTTCCTTTATTACGGTCGACATTTGGATGCGGGCCAGTTCGAGACTTCGTCTGCTGCCTTCTCTTCCAACTTCTTTTCTGGGCGTCCGCTTTTAAGAATATTAACGATAAACTTTAAGTCTGTGCAAAATACATTTTCTCTTCTACTGTTTTAACGCAGGCTTTCAGTTTCAGCGCGAACAATGTTTAACGCGAAATTTTGAGAACGGTCGTTCTTCTTTAATGGCTCTCGGCAATAAATTTACTAGTGAGCCGTGCGGAGTTTCGCATTTACATTATCGATTGTGTGTGCTTTCATTATTTTTCTCTCTTTAAATATCTGCTACATATATGTATATTATTATAGAAGAACAATTTATGTGCTTGTAAAAAACTAATATGCAGTAAATAAATAAATAATCTCTTAATCTTTGTATCGACATTAAAAAGAGATTTTATTTTTTTCTCTTTATACATATTTTATAATAAACACACATACACGCACACACGTACATGCAAACGATATTTTTGACGATTTAATCTAGAAGGTAAAATTAAAATATTCAAACAGTCGTTAAAAAATGAAGAAGAAAGAAACGAACACGAACTGAGCACGCGATATTATTTCGGAGACGAATAGTAGTAATATTGACTTGTTAACGAGATGAGAGCTAGACGTGACATGTTGCAACGATTGTAACATTACCATTCAACAGCATCGCTGTTGAATAGATTCGGTTCAATATCGGTCGTCTATGAAATCGAACGAGCGTTATATAATCGTTACGAACTGGTAGATGTGGGGTTTCAACAATATCGTTCGCATGACAGTAAATCACTTTCTATTCATTAATCATTTCACGATAGGACATGTCACAGTAGATTTATATCTCATTTCGGCATTTTGCCTGCTCCATTAAATTTCACGTGGGACAAAAAAAAGTTCTTTCTCGGTGATGATATTATATTGCTTCATACAGAGTCGACTAATGCTCGAAAATGTTGTGTCATCGCAAGACTTTGTGCAATGAAAAGTGTATCTTATAATAAATCTCTCTCATCTCTTTCTCTTTTCTAATTTCTCATTTTACAAGCTGTTTTCTACTCTCTCTTATACAAAATGTTGCTCATTTATATTACTCTAGTTTGTAAAATTTTATTTATAACTTCTTGTTGTTGCGTTAAACAATTATTCTCTTTATATATTTTTGTTATTGAATAAACGTTATGGTTTTTAGCTTTGTATAAGAATATATTATTCTATTATATTCTATTATATTCTAATACTCAGCTTTATACGTAACGCAAGAATTTTTGATACTCACAACTATTGGTAACAACAAATTATACAGCGAGAAAGCGCGAGACAAGCTGAATGTCAAACAGCATTGTGAGAAACGCTACGAAAACAGTGCGATGAGCCGCAAATTCCTTAATGATTATTACCAACGACGAAAGTTGTCGTTGCTCAAATATTTCCGTAAGACCGTCGGAAGTTCAAACAACGTTCGAGGTACTTACAGAGTCCGGCCCGGGGTGCGCGGAAAACGGCGTGTGCACGGCCAGCCGAGTATGAACAGACCGCATTCCCGCGGTCAACGAGTAGTGCGGGTCGCCGTTCGGTCGAGCAGTGGATACAGCTAAACGACATTGCTCAGCACTCAAGTAATTCTCGTTCTTTTGTACACGGTCGGCGCCGAGAGCGGAGCTAATCCCTCTTGTACACGGATCCCTCGGGTCTCGCAACGGACATTTTCCGGTACGATTGAACCTCGCATGTACGCGCTTTCAACCCGAGGTATCCAATCCTCACGCTGTCGCGCGAAACCTGGAGATATAAGCAACGACGAACGAAGAGCTTTTCGTTATCTTTTGTGAGAGATTAACGGCCGCAAGAGAAGAAGAAAAAATTAATTAGGTATTTTTTTTAATTTTTTTTTCACAAACTTAAACTTCAAGGTTAAAAATACATTTTCTTGCGGCAAAAGAAACGTGATAAACGACTTTCTTGTGTATTATTATTGAAAGTATATTGTTGAAAAATATATTATTATTGAGAAAGGTATCGTGTTTTCAAAAGATTAACAACAAGCAAAATTTTTTACGTTTTTTCCAAATGAAATAACGTTCGGAACAAAGGACGACTGTGCGCAATTTTTTTTTTTTTCATGTAATCCTGCAGCACACATGCGAGCGTACCGCAATTCGTCGTATTCGGGTTATTCGTGGCGAAGATTAAACCTCAGCCATCGTACACGGTTTTCCTTCGTATTTGCAATCTGGTTGTAGCCAGGCAAAGGATAGGAGCTTGGAAAGTGAACAGCGAGAGCTTTGATACCTCTTGCTCGAGAAATAATTCACTGTTTCGTTCTCTGAATTGCAAATCCCGGCAAACACTCACCGACATCGCTTGGATGAGCAGGGCTTAATAATTTATAATCCCTGTCAAAGCCGTACGTCTCTTTCTCGAAAATACTACTCGTTTTGAGATCTTTCGGCTTCAAAGGACGCGAAGATGCGGAAACAACGCGGGGCAAGCTTGCGCGCAACCATTGCCATTCTCTTCACGTGTTGTGTGTGTTTTCTCTCTCGGTCTATCTTCATTACGCGCGGTAATCCCGCAGAAACAATATATTACTCTCGCGAATGTGTCTAGCTAAATATATTTGTATAAAAAAAAACTTTTACGAAGGTTTGTTAACTCGCTCTTTGTGCCATCATAGCGAAATCATTCATTTTTCCGCTGGGCAATTTGTCGGACAAATTGCTCAGCGGAAAACCTCTTTGACAGGAACTGCAATAATAAAACTTGTCCCGATACTAATAACTAGTCTACTGACACGTGTCATGATTGAGTAAAAAATTAGTTTTGACTATAAACTGCCATGTGATGTTAACAAAAAAATATAATAAATTTATTTAGCACTTTATGTATATTTTATAATTGAGAAAGATTTGCACTCTCAGGTGTAAATATAATTAACGTATTATATTTTCTATTCAACGATCGCATGGTCAAATATATTTTAAAAATAATCTTATATCAAATTTCTACACATTTTTACTTTTATTAAAGCATTTTAATATTTTACACGCATTTTTGTCATTTTTGCTGCATTTTTTTTAAATTGCTGTCATTCTCTATCTTTGATTTATAAAGTTAATTAACTCTTTGCGTGAGAATTAATTTTATTGTATTAACTTGAGGAGAAATTGTGTTGCAGAGTGGCGGCCAAAGCGGTGTATGGACAGCAAGCGTAATTATACTGTCGATTGGCACCTGGATAGGCCGAGTCGGGCCACGTCCAGCGGATGGCGAACTCGCGCATCTAACATCGTCGCGTGAGCGATTGGAAACCGTTCGACAGGTTCTTTCCGAGGTGCCTTTGATTGACGGCCATAATGACCTACCGTGGAATATCAGAAACTTTGTTCACAACCAGTTGCTGGACTTCGATTTCGACAGAGATCTGCGCCAAGTCGAGCCCTGGAGTAAGAGCGCATGGAGTCAGACCGACTTGGTTAGACTGCGACAGGGCATGGTTGGCGGCCAGGTAATTGCATAAATAAAATTGTAATAATTATGTTTTGAAACTTAACGTAACAAGTTTACAAAATAATATCAGGTTTTTTTTTAAATATCAGAGCTAATTTTTAGTTATGCTGGAATTTCATTAATTATCAAGATAATGTAACACGTTAATGTTATAAAAAGACATTTTTTATTAAGACATTTTACTTTTTTTCACTACAATATAACTCCAGCAATTTCGAATTCTGAGAATCGGTTTCTATGCGCTCAAAATTACTGAATTTCTATTGTATCAATTATATAATATTAATATTAATTCTCGCAATTCAAGAAACACATTGTGGTATTGCACTACTCATTTAATCGCGAACCATCTAGAAACTATATCTATTAGTGATGATTAGACTAGGGTTTCGGATGTTGGCGATAATATGAGCGTGACGGATTTGAATGCATCGATTATCGTCGTCGCACGCGAGTACTCGAGAGCTCGTTAAGTCTAAATGAGCATTAAGCCTGCGTCATGCTAACACGCACACGCGTATCACAGAAACAATACTAATTAAGAGAAAGAAAATGTATCTTGTGTGCTGAAAGAGAAGAAAATATAAACCATAAACCAATGCCACAATGAGCATATATTATAATTTACTACAACACGTTACATAACATATATTTTTGATTTGCTTTACAAACAATTACTCGTTTTGTTTTTCAGTTTTGGGCCGCTTATGTGCCGTGCGAGTCTCAGCATCTCAACGCGGTCCAGCTGACTCTGGAGCAGGTGGACCTCATTAAGAGGTTGATAGAAAAATACTCTCAGCAGATGCAGTTTGCTGCATCAAAGAGAGGTAAATGCAGTTTTAACGTAATGAGAAAACGCGAAATGTTGCGCTCGAAAATGTTCAAAAACTGATCCGTTGTATATTCTCGACGAAGTGACTACTTCATTCGAGCGTACTTTTAACTTCTAGAGATTTTGGAGGCTCACGCGAGGGGCAGAATAGCTTCTCTGATTGGAGTGGAGGGTGGGCATAGTCTAGGAAGTAGTTTAGCCGTTTTAAGAACGCTCTACCAACTGGGTGTACGGTACCTCACGCTGACACACACCTGCAACACACCGTGGGCGAAAAGTTCGTCGGTGGAAGACGAAGATGAAGATGGTAAATTATAGAGACGCAAGTTTGAAAACATCTTCCTCTTTCTCTCTCTTTTCAAGCGGAAACTGAAATTTGCCAACTCGAAATTTTGTGAACAGATGGCAAACACGCTTAACAAGCAAACTTTAAAATTATTTATATTTTTTTTATTAATATCTGCATCTCTTTTAATATATGAAAACTACATTATTATGAAAAATACATCTTCACAAATAATATTTTATGCATAAACAGAAATGATCATATAACAGCTTAATAATTCATTAAAGAGTTCGTCAAACTAATTTCGTTAATTTCCTTTCGTATTAAATATTGCTATTTTTTCATATGTATTCTTTTACTCAATTACGTGATTTTTACGCCGCGACTTCTTCGATATAAATAGAAACTCTGTCAAATAAATAAGACATGGATATGTCTTATAGGCGGAGGCTTAACTGCATTTGGCAAGGCGGTGGTTCAAGAAATGAACAGGCTCGGAATGCTGATAGACCTCAGCCATAGTGCGAGATCGACCATGAGAGATGCTCTGAGGGTCAGTAAAGCGCCGCTCATTTTTTCACACTCCTCAGCGTACGCCATTTGTAATTCTTCCAGAAATGTGCCCGACGACATTCTCAAGCAACTGGTAGGTACATAAATATTTCCGGAAAATACTTTGTAAAAACTATTTTCACTTCCGTAAACCGTTTTTTCTTGTTAGAAATGAGAAACGGTCAACTACAATTGCTTCTCGCAAGAATCCTACTAGTTTAAATAAAAAGTACATAAAAGGTGTAACATTTTATGAATGCACATCTTTGCACTGCGTAATTTTACTCGGAATTGAGTAAAAGTGAGAGAAGCTGAGAAAACCACTTTTTTTGCGGCAAAATTCGCGCTTGGAAGAAGAGAATAGACGATTGACGATACAAAAAAGCAACACAACGTGACGAAGATAAAATCTCTTCCGCTTCCTCTGCCGGATCTTCCTTCCTGCGGACAGATAATTATCCCGGGCCGGAGTTCCAATAGCGTCGCGAAACATTTACCGACGACAATTTCTTTTTATTGTCGAGTTTTGTGCCCCATTAAGAAGCGTCCGGCGCTCGCTCCGCCTCGTTAAGAGGCAAATTATCAAGGTCGAAAATTAACGGCGCCTAGAGCCAGTGAATGCGGTGCCACGATAACGAGGTCTCTCTTTTCTGGCGCTCATCGATTTCATCGATCCTCCGCGCGTCGCGTCGCCCGCGGCGGTTGCACGTTTCGTTTTCCGAAGCAAAGGCGCGGTCAGGACACAATTTTCTCTGTGCGCGTTACATCTCTCTCATTGAGCTAGCGCAAAATTTCCCGGTGCGACGCTGTGCATGTTCGTGGAACGTCGGAATTACGTGCGCTCCTCTTCTACATCATCACGTGCTTGTTTTCCAGGCTGATAACGGCGGACTGGTGATGGTCACGTTTTACAATTATTTCGTAAAATGCGGACCCGAAGCCAGCGTCTCGGACGTGGCCGAGCACATTTACTATATTCGAAACCTAATTGGCGTGGACCATATCGGAGTTGGCGGAGATTTTGACGGCATCAACAAGTACGTTATAAACTAGTTACCATCGAAATATCGTATTTGTGATACAGTTTATAATCTATTTTTACTTGAAATATAATGTACAAAGAGAAATTAATTGTTTTTAACTTAAGTTCTGAAGTTCATTTAATGAAACACAATTAACTTTAATTAGCTACGTTATTACAATTACAACTTTACTAAACTTTAGAGAATTTGGTCTTTTACTGAATTATTAATTCGCTCGCAAAATGTTTTTCATTTTCTTTGTAATAAATAAACTATTAGGAGCGTTATTAATTACACGTGAAACATCGTTCTCTCTCTCACTCTTTCTCAGAACTCCTCGTGGTCTCGAAGACGTCTCTAAGTACCCCGAACTATTCGCCGAACTTCTCCGTAGCGGCAAGTGGAGCGTGCTCGACCTAAAGAAAGTCGCCGGCTTGAATTTACTGCGAGTCCTCACACAGGTTAGGGTCGATTACGGTCTGAAGTGCAGTATGTATGTACATACGTGCATACTGCAGCGTTCTGACGGGTCTTAATGCCGTCATAATTCTACTGTAGAAGTGCACGTTGCTGGCGCACTACACGACAGCACAACCACATGCTTTACTCGCTCGTACTCATAAATTGCTCACCTTATAACCTGGCGAGCGTTAGAAAACGAAACTGATAAGAGATTTCTATTGTCATAAACAATTATCACTATTTTTTATCTCAGAGACTTTTAATGAACACATAAAAAAGAATATTTTTCAACATTTTTTGCGTCTAAAAAAGACTATTACGAGTTCGACACGTTTCGCTACCTTTACTGTAATGTATCTTTTATTGTATGTAAATATTGAACATCCAATTTTGCTTGAAAAACTGACTTTTATCATATTATTTATTAATATCTTTTAAATTCAAACAGTTTCCATGCACACTTGTAATTAAATTTTTTACGCACTAATTAATTAATTGATTGCTGTTATGCACTAGGTGGAGCGTGTGAGGGACGATATGAGGACAGCGGGGATTACGCCGTTCGAGACATCTCTCCCGGATTCGCCGGACACGATCGGCAACTGCGCTCTGGATATTAACTCCGTGCAAAGGGTCACGGAAGTCTGATCGATCGACTGTACGCAACGCTCGACAACGCGCGAATTAATCTTATACCTGCACACACAGTCGATCTCCGCGCAGATGGTCATGACCGGGAGACAAACCGGACAACCGCCGATTCAAGGCGCATATTCAATTATCTCGATTACTGTGCGAATCTGTACACGCTCATGAAAGTTCTTCCACCTTGTGCGGAAGCTCAATTAAATATCGAAGGCTCAAAATAAACCTACCTCGATACCTATCTCGCAAAGGCGACGAGCTCCAAGTATTGATTGATATTTTATTTTAAAACGTAGCTACAAAGTGCAGAATTTTTAATGTTTCTTTTTTTTTCTGTGAAAATCAAGCTTCAATTAATATACTCGGATAATAGAAGTTATCTATTCAAAGCTAATTTTTCTTTCTTTTCAATACGCAATACACACAAATTTAAATATTTTTTTGAGGCGCGTTTTTTAGCTGTAAAAATGGCAAGTTTATAGATTATTACGTTTTACACATAGCTGTGTGGATGAAACAATCTGCTCGTCGCCCCTTAATCTACTTATAATACACAGAAAGATTTTTTGTACTCGATAAAATCCCGGTAAGCAAATTGAGTCGGTCGTTATTTTAAAATCTATGCTATCTTGCTGTCAGCGCGTCTTCGCGATCATGTAAATATCTGAGATCCGAGCGATAAGGTGGAATGCTGTCGAGTATTCGCGTGAAGAGCGAGCGTCACTGCACGAGACTGTTTTCTAAAACTTCGATGTCTTCCTCTCTCTGGAAACGATCGTAATATGTGTGTGTGAAACTATGAAACCTCGGCTGTATACCTTTGATCGTCTTCCTTCCCCTCATTGCACCGACGAAAAAACACGTGTGTTCCACCAGAACAACATTTTGTAGAAAGAAGAATCGACGTCGTGTTTCTACGAGCAGCGTACATGATGCTCACAGAAGTTAATCAATATCTTTTTCTTTTCTCTTGCAATCACAGATATTTTCTTGTTTATCGCGTAGATACGAAAATTTACTGCGTTCGATAAATTATATCATATTTTTTTAATAATAACAGGGTATCAACATTTTTCGTTAAATATTTTAATTTTTGAATTATACGACGCAAACGTGATGCAGACAGAACAAATAAAAACTATCTTTTTTTTTGTTTCTTACATTCAGACTTTTTAGTGGAAAAATAGAATTTATTATACACATGTATATATTATCGATGAATATTAATGTGAAACGTAACGACAAACGTTATCGTTTTCATACAACTGTTTAAGATATACGCGCAGATATCGGAAACCGCAATAATCTTTAATAAAATGACAAAACTCGCCGACGATAATTACCTTATCTCTCCGAAACTGTCTAGTGTTAAACTCAAACTTGCACATATCAAAGCCGCGCAGAACGAGATATAAACAATCACTCATATTTTGTACAAGCAAAGGTCATTTCTAGTTTTGCACGGATTTCGCTTTTGTGATAACGCTCAAAAGTTACGTTCGTCAGATTACCGCGATTAATCGAGAGTCACGTACAATCCGAAATAAATATGTTGCTCGCAGTGACGGGTGTCGATGAGAAGACACGAAATAAATACGGACGTACGTGTTTTTCGACGTCATTACGCACCGGGCTGCGAGAAATCTTAAGAATCGCTAAGGTACGCACCCGGCGATCTTTTTGATCGAAAAGCATCATCTTCGACGGGACATTCGAGATTACTCGGAACAAAAAAAATTGCCGTAACACAAAAATAGCGTCGCATTGTTCCCGGTAATCCTCGCATATCGCCGTCTACCTATCTGTGTCTCGTGTGCACTTATTATATAATTCGCGCAGTAGGAACTGTCTCGGTCTCAGAACTGTGTGCCGGGCCGAAAGGACGAGATCACAGTTTGCGCGGATTATAACCTCACTCCTTCGCTGTGTGGGAGTATATATATATATATATATATATACATAAAATATAGGTGATAAAGTCTAAGATATCAGAAGTTCCGTTGTATCTCTCGAACGAATTCTATAAATAAATGTTTCTATTGTAAAAACGAAACTACTACATCCTTTTTCTTCCTCCCAAGATCACAAGCACATCGAAAATGTTTGTGAAGATATGAACTTCAGTTTGGAAAGATCTCTGCTTTTTTGACTGACTTCTGGTGACCCGAGAATTCCAAATCCGTTCATATACGCCAGACTGCAATAGACTATGTATATATTTCAAGTATTTCGAATTTTAAGTTTCAAGCCTCAGTTTTAGTTTTTTTTTAACGCACTATAACATTCTACTTTAAATGGCCAAATACACTTGAGATTAAATTTTTTTTTATTTATTTATATTGAGAAATTAGTTTGCTAATCTACAAGTTTTATATATGTATAAAACGTCTGATAAAAGATATACAGAAATTATGCACAAAATAAACTTAATTTTATTATATCCAGTGCGATATTCTTACGTAAAAACGACGCGTATCATACATAGTTCTTTAAAATTATAACACATAGTAATTACATAATATGATGATCAACGATCACATAAAAGCAATGACATTATTTTACAACGTGTAAAAAGAAAACAGATGATCACTTTATCGTTAATATGGCTAGAGCTTATGTCTAGTATCAAAATGGAAAAAAACATGTTATTTACAGGCGATTTTAAGGTACACAAATATTTTTTCGCGCTGACTAACGCTTTAACACATCAGAGACGATCTCAGCCACTGTAAACAAAATTTGTGTTTTAATATGTTCAGTTAAAATATTATACATTCAATATTTTCAGTTAAAATTTGCAATTACTGCAGCAAACATCATGTATTTTTAATCAAACAGTTATTTACCTCGGACAGACTTAATTTTATCGTTCCATTTTGCAGAGGGTCCTTGCTTTCGAATATTCCTAAAGAAAAACAAAAAACTATAATTAATTAAAATTATTTGAACAGCACACGTACAACTGTGTGCTCGATGAGAAACGTACCAAATGCATCGCTCAAATGCAATATCGCCGAGACGAAGTCGCCGAATCGTAGAGTTCCGTCCTTTCTCATATATCGAAGAATCAAAATGGATAATACGTCGGTATTTAATTGGAAACCTGAGACAAAAGCTCCGGTTACGGAAATAGAATGTTTAATGTGGCATACGTCTGTATTAGATTGTCTCTTTTATACGCACCAACTTCCAGCAAAGCATCTCGCAGTCTCTCCGCCTTGAGTATACCCGTCTTTTCCTTCGTGTGATTCTTAAAAGCAGCCTGCCAGTACTTCAAACTGCACATGAGATCCTTGAAGTCGTTGAACTTCAGCCGACCGCTCCCAGAACTCTGTTTACCGACGTGGAAAAATGTAAGGAAATATCACTTGCAATATACATCACGCGCATATCTTACTGTCGCGGTGAATGATGCATACGGCAAACAAATAAAAGAAAATCTTCACGCGCTTTTATGTTATCTTTTTGAAAAATGTTGAAAAATCGATACTACGCGTCTTGATACGCGAAGGGGAGGGTTTTATTGAAAGGATACATCCATAGTGAGCACCACTTGTCGGCAAACTTCCATGCAGGCACAACTTTTGATATAATCTGTAAATTAAAGAGAAAACCTTGTATTTATAGTTTGACGTTATATCGCCATCGTAGCGTACATTTTCCACTCGGTAAAACTTCCTATATATTTTATGGGTGGAGAGAGAAATGCGTCGCGCGCGCCATACCATTCGGTAAACAAGCTTCTAAAAGCTCTTGTAACTCGAAGGCGTTTACGGTTCTGTGCTCGTCAGCGAGCTGCAGAAACACAGCTTCGTATTGAGAAAAGCCTTTTCCCTCGAGAGGAGGCGCCTTGATGATCGCGGATTTCATTAAAGACGGCGGAGTGTCCAACAATCTGCGAAAAAAACACACATGTGTTTATATGTACAGAAAAATATATAAAATTTGTATAAAAAATTAAATAAAATAAAGTATGTGTGTATAAAAATTTGTTACTAATTTTTGAACAAAGAAACGCAAGTTTTATGCGTTTTAGTCGCAAAATATTTAATGATACAAAATGATACAAACAGCATGTATGTATATTAAAAGCAAAGAAGAGATATAAAAGGAAAATGATATCCACTACACTGAAATAAAACCAGAAATTATCTCACCAAGAAACCCACTCCTTATATTTTATAATATCAACAAAGGAAGGAACGTGCGTTTCAGAGAGGCAATTACTAGATGCATCCTTTGAAATATAGCCGAGAGATGTTAAAAGTGCAGGTTAAAGGCGGGTGAGAGAATCATATACACATAACATCCTTGCCGCCGAGTTAACACACCGCCGCGCATTAAATGCACACCGAGGCGTGTGCTCGCGCGATCCTTTGTGTCGCACGTATATGACATCGGTAAACGGCGTATGCTTACTTGAGTTTTAGTGGCTTGCTGCTGTAGACTCGTAACGTGAAACTCGTTTCTTGAGTCGGCTCGAAGGTCGTGGGTACCAGCAAGTAACCACCCTGCTCAAGCTGACACCTGTGGCTCACCTGCCGACTATTCGTGTATTGGGAATTAACTAAAGACTTGTTTTTTTTGAAGAACTGCTTGTTTATCGACTCGGTGCTGTTCTTCGGCAATGTGTACGCCGTGAAACCGATTACCTACAACACACGGCTTGAACTCGATCATTCAATTCGATAAGAACGATGTGGGGGTTTGATATAAGAACGTCTTACTTTCGGCTCCATAATGGAATGTTGATTCAGCGAGACGATCACTTCTTCCATCTCGCTGAGAATGAGATGCAACTGAGGATTAATGTGGAAGGTTTCTAGAAACAAATTAATCAGACCTCAGTTAAATTTATTAGATTGGAAAACAAAATACCAAGAAGCCTTACGCATCTCCGTTTCTTTTCTGCAATCGGATTTTGCGTTCTCTAATTGCATTTTGAGCAGTAAAAGATAAGTCGCAGGGTTTACGTTATATAAATGGCGTAACGAGCGAACCTTGATTATTTCGACATCCTCCAGCGGTAACACCTCTTCTCCAGCTTCCTTGATACAGTTTCATTTGCCACGTGTGCTTGCTGTGCAACGACGGTTCATCTCTCGAAGTTTCAGCGTCGAGATGCACAACTTCCAGATGAGTGAACGTCTTAACGAAGTCGGAATACGATATCCTAGAGAAATTGTAAACAATGTACAATGCAGCGACAAACTTCAGCAAAGTTTACGCTAACTCTAAAAACGGAAGTTTGATTTATACACCTATTTGGTTTCAAAATATCTTAATTAAATCAGATAGTTTAAGTTGTCGTAACTGGCTTAATTAAAACGCGACGTAAATTAATTTTATCTCGTTAATTTGCACACGTTACTGTATTACGTGAAATACTGTGGTATTATTGGTTATAGAAAGAATTAATTCTCAGGATTTAATATGTAAAGATGAACAAAATGAATTTATTATAATTAAAGTTAACAATTAAGCGGTTTCACAACTTCCGATAGCTCACGCGACTAAGCGGTTTCACAACTTCCGATAGCTCACGCGACTAAGTGGTTTCACACTTCCGATAGCTCGCGCGACTTGTCTCTATTAACGGCTCCGAGTTCTCTGTCTCCGGCGACCGAAGACCTCTCGCTCATCACCTCGGTTTTCGAGGACA